ATCATTTCTTTTGATATAACAGGACAACAGAAACATGGGTGTAGTTTTTCCTACATCAACAGACTAGCAGAATCTGAAATACAAAATACTGTAATATATACAAAGAAGTAAGATTTTGGTGAGACCTTTGTAGTGTTCCAGACTATTCTACAATTAACTGGATCAGCAAGAAAACTGGTCAAGAGAGGAAACTGTACAAAAGTAATGATTCTATATGAGTGCCTGTGTAATAGGAGACAGATGTTTCCCCCATTAATGATTCCTGCTATCTTTGCTCCTGACGAAAGTCCAGTTTAACATTGGCATCTCATTAAGCTCTATAACCTGCAGTAAATTAATGTCATTTAGGAGAGAGTATTACTTTAAAAAATGATTATGGTGAAATAATCAATTAATACTGAAATATTTCCAGCTTCTTGCAGTCTTTATTAAAAACCCCAAGCCTCTATAATTTTCTTTAAATGGTATGTAAATTTTGCACACAAAAAGCAAGAACTCTCTTATTATTTAAATAAGGAGGAATGTAATAATGAAGTAAATAATATAATCAATCCCATATATTGTTTCTCATTGTTTACTTACCTCTTTAAGTTTTGTTTTAAAAACCTCAATTCACATGTACAACCTCAAACTAAAAATGTTTTTAATTTGTTTTTATTTAATGTGGAAAAAAACTGAGACAAAATTTGTGTTTCAGTCAAAAATAACTGTTTTTAGATGACAGACTATTAGTAATCTGTTAAATTGGTGATGGCTCACTGGCTTTTCCTTAAGTATCTTCTTAAAATAGTTTTTTTAAAAAAACAAAAAAGTGACCAAATTATCATTCAGCTTTTTGGTAGAAAACAATATTAATCCGAAAAAGAAAAAAGGAATTACTAAATCAAAATGTCTAATGCCTGCTGAAAATGAACCCTAACAGCAAAAGACAAATTGTGAACATTAAGTAATAACAAGTAGTCAAACAATGCCTTTCAGTAGGGGAATATGAGTATTCCTGACTAGAGAAGAGTTAACCAAGTCTACTGTTCCTACTATGATCAATCTCAATTTCTCAACTATCGAAAGAGAAAAATGGCACAATCCAGATCTTCTCTATCTACTCTCTCCTTAACCTCTTGCAATTTGCCATTCAATGTACCATCTCACTTAAACAGGTATTATTCATGGCACTATTCGATGGATTTTCTCAACCTTCAATGGATCTTTTTATGGATCTTAAGGATTTTAAAACTGTTGGTGAATACCATTTTAAAAAATATTTCTCTGCTTTCAAGACCTCTGCCTCCCTCTCCTTTGCAGTCTGACCATTTTAAACAGTCCCTTCACTCTGCTCTGCACTCCCTTTTGGAAGGTTCATAGCACTTCACAGTTCCATCTCATGCTCAAGTTAGCTTTGAGGCACTAGATCAAAGCCTGGTTTCATACTTTACCAGCTATATAATCTTGGCCGTTACATAACCTCTCTATGACCCGTTGCCTCATCTGTAAAATGGGTATGAATATGGTTACTGTGGGGAATAAACATAAAACATCTAGTAGAGTGCCTAGCATATGGCAGATGCTCAATTTGTGGTATTTATTAATAGCAGGTTTGGTATTCTGCCATCTTATTCCTTATTATGAAAGTCAAACTCATTATTTCTCTCCCCAAACTTATACACCCTATAAGTTTTTCAGTCAAATAATACCAATGCTTTTTCAGTTTACCACAAATTCATGGGATCATCTTTAATCCTTTGGCAGGGACCTACTATTCCACAACAGCTCTCTACCATGTCCTTCTTTTTTGGTTCTGTAGTTTAAGGCAACTTTATTATTTATTGAATACTATAGGCTGTGCCCCAGTACTGGATTCTTCACAGCTTTGTATAATTAGCTATCTCAAGAGCATAGGTCACCAACTATTTCAGAACAAACAAAAACTTCTCCTAAGTCAACCCCAACCACAGGATGGGAACTATATCAATCACTACTCCTGGGTCCTGGGCTCAATGAGCATGGCCCTCTAACCTCTCAGTCAGGCAGCATGACCTCTCTTGCCTCAAATTCTAAACACATCTCCCTATTTCAACTCCATTTCATTCTCCCTACTTTGTTGTGAGGATGACCTCTTTGGGCTTCTACAAAGACAAGTGTGCTGTACAATATCCCTTTCGTAGCACTAAAAAGCAGACATACTAATAAAAAGAAAATCAGCAATGCGTATCTGGAGGGGAAAGGTTCAAAACAGAACTTCTTTCACATGGGAGTAGTCATAAGAAGCATAAATAGCTCAACAGTTATTGCTAAAAGTTTTCATATACATGTCAATGTGCATCTATAACCATAAACAGAAGTTGTCAAAAAGAGAGTAATTACATTTTTCTTTTTTAATTGGATAGCATTTAATTCAGCAAATTAAGTCATATGGTCTTCGGCCTCGAATAACCCAACATCATATTGTATTCACAAAAGATAAAATATATCAATTTATAAACATGACCTCTAAATTTCTTGCAACAGTCCACAGAGTAAAACACTGACTTTCTTTCATACTTGCTCAAATATATAATATGCTAGGAATTATTTAATACCCACAGCTAACCTTCTCAAAAAGATCAAACTTATGGACAGGTGATCACACAGACCTGATTTATACATTTTTATAAGCATTCCATTAAATTTTAAAAGGTATGCAAAATATATGGGTGTGATTATTTTACATATAATGAGTACAATAGGGAGAATTATACCCACTTTTAACTATAACATGAGATTTCATAGTAATCCATCTGTTTGATCTGAAAGGGTTAAGTAAAGCGTCAAATTCTCTATTTTTGGATAATGGGGTAAAGATTTGAAAGTCTGATTCTAGCTGAAAAAGGCTATACTATATAACAAGTCTAATGACTAAACAGCTGCAGATTCTAAAAAGAGTTTTTGTATTACTCTGAGTTAGGCACTAATTTATGCTTTAAATTTTCGTTCCAGTGATATCTTTTTAGACACATGAAAGGAAAAAGCAAAAAATACTTAAGAGAGCTAGTCTGTGAGTACCTCATTTAATGTAGGGCAATAAAAAGAAAGGTGTTTTAGATGCAATCTCATTTGCAGCAACCTCACAGGTTATCTTTTTAACTATTGTTCTATCTCTTCAGACATACCGTAAGCCATAGAGCAAGAAAACTAGTTTCCTCATCCTTGTAACTTCCCAGTCCCCTGAACATGGCCACTAGGACTCGGAGTTCACATTTAGAGTTGCTTTCTCCAGAGCAGAGATTCCTGTTCTCATCCACTTTCACACTGGGGTCCATCTTGCTGGCACTAGCAGTGTGCATTTATGAGAACCAGGTCCAGGTAACAAGTCTATCTTAACATACAAGTAAACCAGATGCATGGAAAGATAAAAACAGTATATTCAACTAATACACTTTATTTTTACAAAGAAGGTGGAAGATGCGCTTAGATAAGGTCAAAAGAAAATATAGGGGAAAAGATCACAGGAAGAAGTGTGACAAAGACTGAGAGCAAACACTGTTGGAAACTTCACATTATAGATCAGAAATCCTTGGGTGTTAAAACTCCAGAATGAAGATTAGGAACTGAGACTTCTATTTGCTATGTTGTATAAACAAAGCCATGGTACAAAAGGAGGTATTTTGTTCCTGAAAGAATCAAATTTAACTTGAAAACTAACAACCTATTTACCGTGAGTGGTACCTACCCAGGAATATTTTTTAAGTTTCAGAATATTTATTGTAACTCAAGGCAACTTATTAAAAGCACAGAATTTCACTATAGAGCTTTCCATTTGTTTAATTTCAAAATGAGGTGATATTTCTTAACGAGGTATTCAGGCACTAAATTTATTTTGATTATATTTAATTTATTATCTTTAATTCTTAATCATCTTAAATCAAGAACCAATAGTTTTTAAACCATTTTTTGAGAATTTACTGGAAGAGATCTTCAAATAACTATTACCAACATAAAATAATTCAAGTCCTGAATTCAAAAATCATAGAAAATTCACTGAATTAGAGAGTTGTGATCTAAAACCCAAAAATACATCAAATGAATGAAGTCTTAAATCCAAAATGCAAATAGCATTTTTTACAATAGGAAAAAAAAAGTAAACATAGAAATTATATCATCTTTCTTTACACACATACGTTACAATAGGAAGATGGGAGATTTTAAATTAAACAGTTTGTCTCAATTGCTAGGCTCATTTCAGACATAAATTATATCATTATAAAATATCACAAAAAAACTTTAAACTTTGTCTTACTAAATCATACACGAAATAGCATAGGGCCAGGTATTTTAAAACACTAGGTATACCATAACAGAAAGACATTTAATCTAAATTTTAAAATTGTTACAGCTTCAACACTTGACATCTTAAAAGTTAGCCTCTAAGTAAAACATGTTCACCAACTAAGCAACAGCTATTGAAACTTGAAATAACTTCTCTGAATAACTGATGGCTATACAAACCATATAATAAGATTCATCTCAAGGCTGTTCAAGGATGATCAACTACAGCCAATAATCATAATCATACACCTATCTCAAGCCCTATTTCATAACCGAACACCTATCCAACTACCCTTCAAAATCTGGATTCAGTCCATCAAGCAATCTGAATTACTGGGTCTACATAAATACTGACTGAATGAAACTCTTCCTTGCTCTTAAGTACTTGAATATAATTAAATCTGTCACTATCTTTATTTCTTTTCTACCACCTTTGCTTCTTCCCATTAGACAGCTTTTTACCTATACACAGATTGGTTGAAAAAAACAGCAAGTGATTGCAAAGACCTACTCATGATAAAGCTTGTCCAAAAGCAGTCTCCTTTTTCTATGTTTACATATTAATTCTACTTCATTAAGCATCCTCATGGTCATAACCAGACAGTTTTAATCATCTGCCCACATGCACAGAGCACTACACTTATTTCAAAACAGTTAAACATATATGGCTATTTTCTTTTTAAAAACCATGTACTTGCCTTGTGTCTGCACTTAAGTACAACTCCATAGGCTCCTATAATAAAAAGAAGTAAAGAATTAGGGGCATGTATACAAACCACAGCTCTTGGAGAAATCAAAGATTTATTATATTTATATTAATTATCATTACATGCTATAATAATGATTCCTAACAAGACAATATTCTGCAGTGATAATGCAATGAGCCTCAGACAAAGAGAACATGGGTATTATATATATTTTTGTAAACCAAGAACATAAGAATTCATTTCCCCAACGAGTATTTTTAAATGTTCTTCTTTTTAAAGAAAATTTATACTTGAGACACTTTTTAAATTTAAGCTTATAATTTCTGGAGACAAAATCTGGACATAAGAACTTTAAAAGTAAATGAAAATGAACTGAAAAGATTCCAGGGAACTTAAAATTTAAGAACTAACGATTTCCCAATAGGAAACTTAAGCATTGAGTCTACCAAATATGTTCTCTGTCCTAGGAGACATTTAAATCCTCTTCTAGGTTACTGGAGTGTCTTTTCTGACTGGCAAAATAGTACAGGCCTCAGCATTCCAATTAATAACTAGTATGAGCTGCTACATTTTTGCCACAAGTAAAGACTTAGTCCAAGGGCACAGGCCACAAGCAGTCCAAGACTCTTTCGCTATTTACAGCCAGGCACTCCCATTCTCTTTGGTGTACAGCTGACCCTTGAACAACATAGGGATTAGGGGTACCGATCCCCCATGCAGTCAAAAATCCACACACAACTTTTGACTTCTCCAAAATTTTAGTAATAGCTGTTGACCAGAAGCCTTACCAATAACATAAACAGTCGATTAACACATATTTTGTATGTCATATGTATTATATATTCTTACAGTAAAGTAAGGTAGAGAGAAAAGAAAATGTTCTTTCGAATTGTCACTCATCTCCAAAAAATTTTCCAATATATCTTCTGAAAAAAATCTGGATATATATGGGCCTAAGCAAGTCAAACCCATCTTGTTCAAGGGTTACCTGTATTTGGATGAGATTCATCACTACCTTTTCCATCTCTTATCCTATTATCTAGCCAAAAAAGTTCCTTAAGGTGAGAATACAGAGTTGACACCAAGGTACCTAGGAAACTGAGGTTAAAGTCATACTGTGAAAAATCTAATTAGGAGAATCAAAACAGAATGATAAATGACGTTTGTAGCAATGTCAGAAATACTGACATTAACAGACAGGCAAAGTTTGCATGCATCCATGAGGAGGGGACTTCAGGGAGATGAAATTGGGAAATGTGTCTCTAATAGAGTCTAGGGAACCGGAACAAGTCTCTCTCACTTTGGTGGAGATGAATGAATCTTAATATCATAGCTAGTATGGAACCAGCCATTAGAGACATTCAACTCAACTCCACCATCACCAGGCAAAGCCCAATCCTCACTTAACTGCTCATGCCAGTTTTTCTCTGGGGCAAAAATACACTCTCTAGGCTACAGGAATGCAGAGTTTGCTTGACAGTTTCTAATTTCTTTAATGTGTACGGGCTTCTTAGTTAAAAAATCTGAGGTAGTTTGCAAAGAAAATATATGCAACAGTGGTGATTCTACCTATAACTTAAGCTGCCATATTCTCATTTGTATAAGTCTGGTAGTTATAGTTCATCAGAGCCAGTCCTTGAGAAGATGATCACCTATGGGTATACTAAGAAAATAAGGTTATGATCCAGAAAAAGGCCCAGAATCTGGAACATACCAACCCTCTACACCCTATGAGCTGACCACCTCTAATCAGTAGTTTTATTGCATAAATTTCTAATTATAAGACTTTTGAAGAATGAATAGTTAATTTAAAACAGCTATTATAAATCAGATAGTAGATAAAACATTGAGAATGAGTTTTATTTACATAGTTAACATCAAGGAAGAAAATGATAAAGAGTTGACCAGTGAAAGAAGAAAAATCTATCCTACTTCAGGTCTCGAAGCAAGCACCCAATGATTAGACTATATTTTAACTGTTTCTGTTTATTTGAAAAGGACTTAATAATTTGGTATTAAAATCTAGAATGGCTTTGCTGTTCACACAGGTAAATTTTTAGAACATTTTTTGAAATTCAAAATATCAAAATTCTGAGATACAAAATTTTTTTAAACATTTGTTTTAAAGATATAAATGCTAAGAAACCCTAATTATAATCACATATCCCCTGTGAACAGAAACACTGCTCAAAATCTCCATAAGGCTATCTTTAAGTCAATAGCAAAAATTACCAAGAAGGAAAATATCAGAAAGACTTATAAAAAATGAATTACCATACTTCAGCAATTTGATAACATCATTTGTTATAAGCATTATAAATGCTGCCAATTAAATCATGACATGCTACTGATTATAACACAACACATCCTGATTTTAGAGATATTAAAATATGACCAATTTGTGTGCCTCAGAATTTATAAAGTGTGGTTTAATTCTCAAAGACAAATTGAAGTTATTCATTTATATACCATGCATTAAATAAAATTTAACTTTTACCAATACATTTTAAGTTATTCAAAATAAGACTACCTAATATAAAAATAAAATATAACTAAAAAATTATAGACTGAAGAAACTATGACTGCTAATGAAAACAATGACATAAAGGCAGAAGAAATTAAGAAATCCCTCATTTAAAGAGTTTTAAGATGGTATTTAGCTTACCATTGGAGAGTAAGACCCAAATAATTTAAGACGAATTTCATTTTTCACATTTTTCTCTTAGGCACAAATCTGAATTAATATAGTTAGATTAACAGGATCTGAATTAGTAACATTCATGGTAGTAGATGTAACTACACATTGCTCAAAACCTCAAGGAATGCCAAACTTACCTTCACCTACAACCCCAAGGATCTCAAATTTATTCATCACATTACCAATGTTAGGAATCTTCATGAAGACAAACTCCTCTTTTGATGCAAGCCACAGAACATGGCATCAAAAAAGAACTTCTGAGGAAGTTGTGCAGTAAGTAGAACAAAAAAGGTCAGAAGGAAGAAGTTCTCACAGGTTGGCAGGAACTTTCACATATTTGTTCTAATGTGGATTCCCTGAAAGAACAAACAATTAAAAGCTGTAAGTATCTCAGTATCTAGTAACCTACCCTACCTTTAGGAACAGTTGTCTTAAACCATGTTAATGTTTCATATACTTAAAAAAAGAGAGATGAAATAATAATAATAGTAATAATAGGAGAGAAGTACCCAAAGTAGAACACAAATGAACACAGGTACCTAAATTGTATGTGACACGAGTAACATAACCACGCTGAAGGGGGCCAACGGGAAAAGAAATAATCCCAGGGAAGTTTTGAAAACATTATTTTAACTACAAACACCACTCAACCTCAAGACAAAAAGAAACATAAACAAATATTATACTCTACTTAGGTATTGTTCTAACAGAGATAAGAAACTCCTCTAGGTGTATTCTAAGACAAAGCAAGTAAGTAAATATATTGTGGACAATCAGAGTTTGGTTTCTTATTCTCATAAAAGAAGTCACAAATATGAAAATGGGGAAGGCTTGGAATTAGAATTAACCATATAAACTCAGACCTTAAAATAGAGAGATGCAGAAATAGATATAAGTGTATATGTAAATATACATACCCACACACATATATATTTCCTAGTTCTGTCTGCTGAGGGGGCCTAGAAGTAATGAGCACAACGAGAACATCACTAAAAGAAAGCAGGCTGCCTTGGAGAAACAGGTGATTCCCAGACTAGGGGGATATGGAAAAGGACAGTATGAGCTGAGGATATATTTTTGTGGTGACAGAAAGTAAGGAAATGCTCAAAGAATGATGGGGGCATGTCTACAGGGCACAGGAGACAGCTTAAAGAGATTCCCACTGGTCAAATGTGGAGCATTTCTACAACAAAGTAAGTACGGACAGTAGTAGATAATAATCCACAGTGTAAAATAAAAATGCACCAGCCCTTACTGACATACATACATAAATGGGGGAGAGGGAAAAGCTCTTAGAGTATAATTTCAAATAATAAATATAGTGAAGGAATTGACAAGCATCCTGCTAATTCTATCAGGTAAGTATCATCAATATGTGCTGAAAGTAGTGGTTGAAAGTGTGATGGAAAAGAGGGTATTATCTAGTCTCAAAGTAGCTCCCTAGATGATACCCAATTAATTAAAATGGGAAAAATAGTCATTTCATACTGAAGAACCCTACCAGACACCACCTTAATTAAGTGATCAAAGTTAACAATGTCAATAATAGGACAAGTGAACATCATATGCCCCCAGATAGGGCAGATCACATTACTCCTGTGGCATTCCTCCCAAAAAGGTAAAACCTTGGATATCCAAGACAACTGAGAGACATTTTACTAAACAACTGTCCTGTATTCTTTTTAAATGTCTAGGTTACATATTCAGCCATAAGAAGAAAACAAATCCTACCATTTGCAACAACATGGATGGAGCTAGAGGGTATTATGCTCAGTGAAATAAGCCAGGCGGAGAAAGACATGTACCAAATGATTTCACCCATATGTGGAGTATAAGAACAAAGGAAAACTGAAGGAACAAAACAGCAGCAGAATCACAGAACCCAAGAATGGACTAACAGTTACCAAAGGGAAAGGGACTGGGCAGGATGGGTGGGAAGGGAGGGATAAGGGCAGGGAAAAAGAAAGGGGGCCTTACGACTAGCATGTATAATGTGGGGGGTGCATAGGGAGGGATGTGCAACACAGAGAAGACAAGTAGTGATTCTACAGCATCTTACTACGCTGATGGACAGTGATTGTAATAGGGTTTGTAGGGGGTTCTTGGTGAAGGGGGGAGAAAAAAAAAAGAATGTCAAATACCATTTAATTTCTATTCTAAGAATGTAGAAATTGAATCTTCCAGAAACAAGTCAATTAAATAATCTCAAAACTAAAAAAAAAAAAAAAAAATGTCGAGGTTACAAAAGACAATGACTGAGTAATTGTTCCAGAAAAGATAATTAAGATTCATAATAACTAAATTATTAATACATGATCCTGGATTGGATCCTGGGCAAGAAAAAAATGTATTTTGCTATAAAAGGTAACTGATAAAATTTAAGTGTCTACAGATAACAATACTGCATCGGTGGTTATTTTATTTTCATAATAGTATAGTGGTTATATAAAACAGAGTTCTCGTTTTAAGAAACAGCAAAATGGGTGAAGGAGTCAAAAGGTACAAACTTCTAGTTATTAAATAAGTCCTTAGTGACATAATGTACAGCAGTATAATTAATTAAAATGTATGTTTGAAAGTTGCAGGGATCTTAAACGTTCTCATCATAAGGAAAAAATTAATAACTATGCATAGCAATGGATGTTAACTAGACTTATTGTAGTCAGCAGTTCACAATGTATACACATATAGAATCATTATGTTGTACCCTTGAAATGAATGTTACATGCTAATTATACTCTAATTAAATAAATAAATAAGGCACAGCCCAGAATCTCTAGAATAAGCCAATCTAATAAAGAGTTTAACCAAAATAAGAAAGAACACCAAAGTTTTTAGAGATAAAGTTTGCAACAAGGTAAAATGTTAACATTTGAGAAATCTTGAGTCAAGGGTCTATGAAACAGGAAATTCTTTGTATTATCTTTGCAACTTTTCTCTAAATCTGAAAATATTTCAAAAAAACCTATCCTATCTTTAAGAACAACTGTTAACAACACAAAATACTGGCATAAAGGGAAGAAATAAATCAAAGCCAATAAAGAAATGTTCCATGCTGCCTATGAAATTTGAAACTTTTTAAAAATAAAATTACCCCATGTGGTGTGGATAAGAATTGACATGAAGAAGTATGCCTGTCCATATGCTTATGGGAGGAATGTAAACTGGTAATAGCTTTCTAAAGAGCAGTACATCCATCATTAAATGCTTTTAAGGTGTTCATACCCTGATGAAAGTACCTGCCAAAAACCTACAACAAACATCTTCTTTAAAGTATTAGATACAGTCCCTTTAGAAATTAAGAACATGACTAAGAAGTCCTACTATTAATGCTCAGTAACATTATTATTAAACTTTATCTTGGTGGGTTAGCCAGCTCAGTAAAATAAGAAAAAATAAATTAAATAAATGAATAAAATGTACTGAATCAGAAAGTGGGAAGTAAAACAGAATTTACAGGTACTATTTTCTACATAGAAAACTCAAAGGAATTTACAAATCATTAGAATTATAAGTGTTAGCAAGGTAGCTGAATATAAGCTTAATTTATCAACTGCATTTGTAAACATCAGTAAGAAACAGAAAATGCAATTTTTAAAAATCTCATTTACAATAACAAAAAAGGCACTTCATGACATTAAAGAAGACCTAAATAAATGGAGTTATCCTAATTTCAAAGCTAGGAGGATTCAGTACTATATAAAGATGCCAATTTTCTCCATATTAATCTGTACAGTCAATGCAATTCCAATCAAACCCCAACAGGGTTTTCTGAGGAATTAAGACCAGCAAATTCTAAAATACATATGGGAAGAGCAGAGTTTCAAGTATAGGCAACACCCTCCTGAATAAGAAACTAAGAAGGCTTGGCCTTGAGGGTAGGATCTGGCAGGATGCCCTACCAAATATATTGAGGCTTAGAATTGAGCTATGGAAATTAAAACTGCCAGGTCTTGGCACAGAGACAGACAAATTTGCAAGTGGAACTGATGTGAGAGCCAAGCTGTTAAGCATACTTCAGTATCCCTACAGTTCTACATTCACCTCCCCCTTCAGTCTGTTCTCAACACAAGTGATAGGTAAGTCAGACCATGTCATTTCTCGGCTCAAAACCCTCCGATGACCTCCCTTATTATTAAGAGTGAAAGTCATAGTCCACATGAGACACAAGGTCTTAACCTCCCCCTCCTCTGATATCATCTCCGACTATTTTCTCCGTTGGCTGGCTTCAGTTCATTCACAATGAGATCCTTTCAGTTCAGCATAGAACAAGACAGTCACAGTTATACCTAATGCTAAATATTTCTTTATCACTCTAATGTTTATTTTAGGTCAGATTCTTATCTGATTTTTCATTCAACATTTACAAAAAACGTTTTTGTAAAAAAGGCAAGAGAAAATAGATACTATACTTACTTCAGAAGACTTTAATTCAATGGAATCACAAATTTTTAAAGGATTACTGTGACATTTAGAGAAAATGATGTCACAATTTCAGAAGAAATTAATACATATTTATTCTAGTCATTCATTTATTAAAAAACTAATTGTTGACTGCCTAACAGGTTTCAGGGAGTGGGTAAATAAGATATACAAGATGAAAAAGATATGCAAGATCATTGCCCTCATGGAGCTTTACATTATGCTAAGGAGGAAAAAATGCAAATTATCATATACATAATATGAAAGGGGAAAAAAGGAGTGATTACTGAGATGGTAACATTTGAGGGGAAATATCAATAACAAGAAGGAGCCAGCCACATGTCACTCTAAGTCAATCACATTCCAGGTAAAAGATGCTTAGGGCGCTTCTGAGAACAAATCATTCTTTCATTTTCTATGGCCGATTTGGAAGAACATCCAGGCAACATTTAAATATTCCACTCTCTGACAACAATGGCATGGCTCATTTTAAAGAGATAAAAATTACATCATTCCCACTAAGAAAATCCAGCACTCCAGAAGTTCTATATAAGCACATATAAAGCACATTTGGTCCCACCTATTCACTGTAGAACTCCAAATTGAGTAATGCAAACTGGGAGTCAGAATTTAAATGTGTAAATAAACACATAACATAGGTGTCAAGAACACTCTTTTAACTACCAGTATTCATACTAAGAAAAAAAATGTGATAAATTGGATCAACTACAATTTTATATGATGACACCGATTAATTTTTTTAAAGCATACAAACTCAGATACTTTAGCTTCATGTAACTAAGTAACTTGGGTAAGATGTCCCTCCGAGGATAAATACAAATGTTGGAGGGAATACTTCTTAAAAAACAGCCTTAAGACCTCAAAGACTTGAGAAGACTGTAAAGAATGACCTGGCTGAAATCAAAGCAAACGA